TCACTGTAAGGGTGGCCAGAGCCTGGAATAGGCTTCCCAGAGAGGTTGTGCTCTCACCTTCCCTGGAAATCATCAAGAGGAGACTGGATAGGTACCTGGCTGGGGTCTTATGACTCCTGCCATCCCCAGTGCTCCTTCCTGCCCATGGCAGGGGGTTGGACTAAATGATCTGTCTAGTTCCCTTCCGACTCATTGATTCTATGATTCTGTGATTTTATGGTTAGAGACTGCACCACCTCCTTGGGAAATTTATTCCAGATTCTGGTCACCCTTACTGTAAAGAAGTTCTTCCTTACATCCAACCTGAAACCATCATCTAACAGTTTGACCATCGCTCCTTGTCCTCCCCTGGGGCGCCCTAGTGATCAGTTTTTCTCCCAGCTGCCGATATTCACCCCTTACATACTTAGAGATGGCCACCAAGTCCCCACTCAGTCTTCTCTTCCCCAGGATTAACAGTCTCAGATCCCTTAGTCTTTCCTCCTAAGGTTTGTCCTTCAGGCCCTTGATCATTATTGTTGCCCTTCTCTGGAGCCTTTCAAGATTCTCGACATCTTTTTTGAAGGACAATGCCCAGAGCTTGACACAGTACTCCAGCTAGGGTCTCACAAGTGCCTAGTAGAGAGGAAGTATCAGTTCCTTAGCTCTGCTCACAATGCATGAGCCCAGTATGCTATTAGCTCTGTTGACTACAGCATTGTACTGGTGACTCATGTTCATCCTTGGTTCTGAACTAGCTGGTATGACTCAGGAAAAAGACCTTTGAATCCTTGTAGATAGCTCTCTGAAAACATCAGCTCAATGTGCAGCAGTCACCACAAAAGCCAATGAAATGCTAGGCATTGTTAAGAAGAGAATTGAAAACAAAATGGAGGTCATAGTCCTGCCATTATGCAGAACTGTGTTGTGCCCATATCTTGAATACTGGGTGCAGTTCTGGTCTTTGCATCTCAAAAAGTATGTGGTAGAATCAAAAAAGATACAGAGAAGGGCAACCACAATGAGCAGCAGTGAAGGTAGGTTACAATGTAATGAAAAATAGACATGAAATGTATTGCAATGAGAAATGGATATGAAACACAAAAATACATGTTGGTTCAACTAAAATCTAACTTTACTGATACAAAAAGTTTTATCTTGGCTGTTTCTATATACAGAGAGAGAAAAACACTTAGTACAATGATCTCGCCCAATTTCCATACAGTAACTTTGCTCAACTAGGTGTCCAGTCAGTTCCTGAAAGCAGAGGGTGTATCAGTGGAAAGTCTTTATGGCTAGCAGAGTCAAAATCCAGACAAGTGTTGAAAGCTGGATTTATGAAAACACAGTTAACTTTCCTGCTGACCCTTTTATACTTTTCTTCAACTTTACTCATCTGAAGATTCTTTCCTTCTGGATTGGTTTCCCTGCAGTGAGCATACTGTCCATATTTTATCCTGTCGTCATATTTGATTGTTCAACAGACCCATCACATGCACAGTGCACGCCTGATTTGGTCCTTTACCGGTATCTTGATTTGGGCATTGTCTACTGGTTTCCTCTTAACACCTTTCATTAACATATCCAACCATTTCATCCCTCTGATTCAATTGGTTAGTGCCAAATTTAGTTAATTTAAGCTGGTAACAAGGCTATTACTACGTTATGTTAGAAAAACTTCTCACAGTGATAGAAAAGAAAGAAACATCACATGAGCAAGCTCGAGGCCATAAGCTGTCTGCAAAAATGAGCTCAAAGCCGGCTGATATTGCAGACACCAGCAAAATGAAAAGTTCAGATAATAATGAGGCTGATAAAAAAAAAAAAGCTTAAGCAATGGTAAGAGATGGCTAAATATAAAGAAAAGTTTAAATAATGTTATAATTCACCACTCACACAGGTGCAACCTTAAGCATAAATGTGACAAGCTACCCTAACAGCTCCTCTCTATGAGTTTGCAATTTGACTTCCTGGAATA